GAAACACGTCTAAACGTTGTCATATCCGGAACCTTAATTTTATTCGTATCTCGATGCTCTCTTGTAGACTGTTCTTATCAGCTTTTCTCTGTAGTCAGTCAAAAGTAACTTATGCTGAGTCAATGAATAATTTTCATTTTTAATATCAAGTTTTTGTAAGGAATGGTTAAATTGGCTGAAGAAAAGTGTTCTGGGCAGCCTGACTAAAATATGGCCTCAGAGGATCAAGTCTTTGATTGCTGGTCTAGATCGTGTAGGAGAATGTAAACTTTCCGGTTGAGGTCCATATGACAACAGAAACTAGTGGTTGGAAACTCTAGATAATACGGCTGTGAATCGATGTCAGTAACAAAAATGTAGCCACAGATTATGCGAATCTTTATCGTCATACTGAATTCAACATTTTCTCATTCATTCCTCCCCTTTTTTACTTTTTCCTACCGCCTTTCACTGATTCTTCTTTAGTTCTTTATCTTTTATCTTACTACTTCGTTTTTTGATGTGCTGATATGAAGTGTAACAACTTGGGCTGTTATGCAGTAGTGCCCAGTGTATATATGCTGATGATAGAATAGGCTGACCTAATACATTGCCAAGAAATTTAAACAACTAGAAAAATATTTTCAAAAAATGTATTAATGTAACACCATCAATGAACAATGGTTTTGTCCTAAATTGAAACTCCTTCATAGTGGGCACTTGTGACCCCTCGAGGGAGGTTTGATTTCATTTCAGTTATCATTATCTATGAGACTAGACGAATTCCATCTGTTCTCTGTTATCCCTATACCTAGAAGCCGCTACTATTGAGTATCGAGGTCTAAACTAGGGTATCAGGCTTTCTGATGTTATATCATTGGTGATATATCTTGTACTATCAACTGGTCTTTTATGTTATGTAACAGTAATTGTTAAGAATTTCATTCATATCACACATACCAGCAAATTTTATTTTTCCTAATGTCTCGAATACTACTTTTTCTGATTTTAACGCTTAGTTATTTATTTACAGAATGATTCACTAAGTTTTTGCTGATTACTTCATTTTTCAAGTTCTAAGACATTGATTCATGTTCAAGAATGCATTATTATTATTATTATTATTATTATTATTATTATTATTATTATTATTATTATTATTTATCCCCTGGGTTCCTAATGGAACATAGGGCTTCAGTAGCACGTCTCCATCCCACTCTGTTCTCTGAAATCTTTTAAACCTGGCTCCACGACAGCCCACAACATCTTATTTCCTCCTCGCACGACCTCCTCCATATCACCTTTACCTCGGACATCCAACTCTTCGCTTCCCATCTGGATTCCACTCGAGCGACTAGTCTGACGCGTGATGTCCTCAGTCAGCCTTCTCAGTGAATGCCCCTTCCAATCCATCTCCACTTCCTTCCAGTGCATATTTGTTCAGCGATAGCTTCTTGTTTCGTTGGTTCGTTGCCCGGCCAGCCAGAGTTCCTTGTTCCTTATTCCTGTTATTCTGGCAATCCATCTGATCTTCAGTAACGAGGCAGCGTAGGCGGCAGTTGTTGATGAATGTGTGTAGTTTGTTGGTAATGCCTTTGGTAACACGCCAAGTCTCTGAACCATACAGGATCACTGACTTGACGTTGGTGTTGAAAATCCGGATGTTGTTGACGCTTTATGCTGAGTGCAGAAGATGTTCACACTGGTTTCAGGTTAATGAACTCCTGTCTTGCTTTTCCGATCCTGGCTGTCTTTGACGTCCTTGTCTGTGCCACCTGTAGTTGAAACAGTGCTTCCTAGATAAGTGAAGGAGGTTACTTCCTTCAATTTTCTCCCGTAGATGGTGATTGGAGTTTGTTGTTGGTGGTGGTGGAAGTAGCTGGGTATCATCACCTCTGTCTTCTCTACATTCACTTGAAGTCCCGTCTTCTCTGCCTCTTCTGTCGACTTGTTAGTTTTCACCTGTAGATCTTCAAGTCTGTGTGACATTAGACATAAGTCATCGGCGAAACCCAAACCTTCTAGGTTCTTTTCCCCGGTCCAGTGTATCCCCCTCTTCTCGTTCCTCACTGTTCTCTGCTGCATGATCCAGTGCATTACAATCAGGAAGACCATGGGTAACAGTAGGCAGCCTTGTCTTACTCCTGTCTTCACTTCAAAGACATCACTGAGCTTCCCATTGTGAACTACTTGACATGTGGCGTCTTCACATAGTTGTTGAATGAGATTGATGAAGGTTTGTAGTATTCTGTAGTGTTGAAGCACTTGCCTGGCAGATTACTTCTCGGTTGACGCTGTCAAAGGCCTTCTCAAAGTCGATGAAGTTGAGGTAGAGGGTTGACTGCTGAAAAATTCATTAGTTACATGTAATGGAGCAGAAAGAATGTATCAATGATAGTCGTTTCTCCGATAATAGCTTACTTTGTGAAGTAATACTAGGCTAGAGAGCCAAGAGAACCTGAAAAAGTAATCAATGTTTACTTCATCCTACTTATGGTTCTCTTTATTGATCGAAATTGTCAGTTTCTTCAAAAAATAAACAGAGGACTGACAGGTTATTTGGTTAATGAACTTTAAAGAATACTGTACATACATCCGATCACATAAATCTGCTTAGCATCAAGTTAGACATTCATTATTCTTTTGAGCATACCTTCGTTGCATTGCTCGTGTATGATAAAATCACTATGTGAGCAATTTTGAGGTTAGGCGAAGCATACTGGGTAAGGAAGGCGAGTCGGTCGACGTGGTTGTGAATCTTCATCGACTGTTTTAGAAATGTACTGTTCATGCCGAGCCACCGTCTACCTCGACGTACAATGCTACGGGCACGTTGCATTGAGTCCGAAGAGGGTTCAGGGTGGCCCCACTAACAGGTAGCATCAGCGCATGAAGTCTGTGACTGTTGGTCTCAGCTGTGTGTCCAGGTGTACACTACTAGACTAGGGTCATCGAGAAGATAAAATGTATTCACTCCTTGACGTCTTCTAGAGCTTGAGTATTTTTACTATCTCTAAATTATTTCTCTTCCCCCATTCATCTTTGTCTAGTTTAATATCGGTCTTTTTCCATCCACTTTTTCTTTGCATGCTACTGCGAAAAGTGGTAACCTGAACCGATGCACTTATGTATGAGACTGTATGTTTTATTTGTCTATCTGTTTGTCTATTTGCTACTCTACCAAACAAACGACGAAGTCTATTTGTTTGGACCTAATTATCATTTTGACTTGGTTGGTTGTGGCTGGCAGAGGTCGAACATTTCGACCCAATAAAACAATGAAAAATTACAAGAATATCAATAAATGGTAGTAACTACTACCCGTTTTGCAAGAAATGGCTATCGTTCCTCTGTTGCATAGTGGACAACTCCTTGGCGTTTGAAGCGATGGGTACGAGGTTCGAGTCTAAGTGGGAACAACCTCACTGCGCACTCGGGTGCAGGTACATCTAGCTGACGAGTCGCAAATAGGACGAAACGCGCGTCTCGGATTCCTGTTAGCCACACCCAGCCAAATCACTATAATTAACACTCAGGCAATATTGAAGCATCCACATAAGAACCCAGATGCCAATAGAGGTCGAACAATTCGATCCAATAAAATTACAAGTATATTAATAGGTAGTAATATCATTTTGACTTTTTGAGATAGCTGTGGTTTGGCAGGCTGGTATGATGCTTACTGGGTGATGATTGTAGGTGAAATGAAAACTGAGACCGCTGTGGGATTTTAACCAGCGATCACCGGGATTCCGACCCGATGCTTTACCAACCGAATCTTATAAACTCATCTTGAATTGCATTGTATGTATATGCGGTACAGTATTCTGGAGTTTGTAACTCATCGGTCGGAAGACTACTTTAAATCAATAGATCCTGAGTTCATTGCCCACTACATTTCCTTCACTGTGTACAACTGGATGCTTATTGTGCTTTATACCCCAGTATAGAAGCATATACTAGATTGAACCTGCAATTTTCTAATAACATTATTTGTTGGTTAGACAAAGTTTCAATATTTGTTATTCTCATTATATGTCCTATATTTTATTGATTTGCAAGTAATTAGGTTCGCTCACAAATCCCTATCTACCTCACATATCGTTACTGTTGAAGACAGACCCTCTGTGTGTTTATGTTAACGTGACAAAAGGATTGATTCGTATATATTTCAAGAGAATACTTATTTGACTAGTTTGTCATATTGAGGTGTCACTGTAACGTGTTAACTCTGATGGAATCTTGTTTCATCATTGTATTTTGATAGATACCAGTCGTTGGTATAAATTCTGAATCATTATAGCACTTTTCCATTTTTTTAATGGGATTGTATTCTCTGAGCTGAATTGTTTAATCATGGAGTTTTCGTTGTCATTTTAGACAACATCGTCAGTACAATCTTCAGGAAGACGTGAGCGATAAGTTTCTCTTTGCAATTTATTTAGTTGCTTGTCCTGATCGTCAATCACACAAAAGGCTATCAGGGCAAGCTATTCAATAAACTAGGAACAGAAACTTATCGCTCACGTCTTTCTGAAGATTGTACTGACGATATTGTCTAGAATGATAACATAAGCTCTATGATTAAACAATTCAGTTCAGAGAACACAATTCTATCAAAATTATTCTCCTGAGCTACAAATATTTTTCATCAACTTTTTCATGCAAAACTTGAGTTTCTCTTAGAAACCACTTAGACAAAAAGCAGAGAGAATAACGTAAACTGCTGATAAATTTTTCTTTTGCATTAGAAACTCTAGTTAGAGCTTTGAAGGTTAATTTGAAACTGTTAAATGTTTTTATGATATCACATTAATGGAATACTTTGTTCATTATGCTTGTAATGGTTTTCCAAATACTACCAAACAATATAAACAGGTGAAATTATTACCTGTTTTGTAAAGATGTGAACAATATTCTTGGGTATGATTTGTAGATCCATTTCAAGCTATGGTCAGACACCATATCCTGTTGATGTAGTATTTACATGCTATTCTGTACATTTTTATTTTACTCTTCAGCTGATATTGGAAGGTACAATTCCTGCTGGATATCCAGATGCTAGAATTTGTGTTGATAATATTACTTCTTATACTGAACCATGCAGTGGTAAGTTTATGAGTTATAGTGTTGTATTATTGTACTTCAAAGTATATCTCTCTCATAATTAGATGTAATAATTGTGATTAAGTTTTGCTAGATTTCACATTCTCCTTATAGTCAAAGGTGTACAACATTTAAGAGATTTTTTTTTCATCTCTTCAAAGGTTCGTCTCATTTTACTGTAAAGGGTGCATAGGTTTGTACTACGATGTTATTTGAATAGGGAATAAAAAATATATTAAACAGATATGGGTTGTGTAAGCCATAACTGTCGGAAACTGCAAAATAATCGACAGCGTTTTATCAGCACTTAGGAGTAGACAAAATGGAATTGATCACCCTTCAGTGACCAATCAGTGTACCTAATTCAGTCCTACAGAAGGTTAATCGCGGCCTGAATAGTTCTGAATGCGGCACTAGGGATACGGATTCGGATCTCAGATAGGACATCACTTCTATTGAGGTTTCAGATGCACCATGCTGACGAGTGTTGTTTAGGACGAAACCTGTGTAAAACAGGGTATCCTAACAATTACTTCCACCCAACTAAGATCTATCTCAGTGCACCACGGTGGTGACTACATCGCAGAATGATCGATTGCATTACTCTCTAGTGACCAATCAATCTATCTGAGATTGTCTAAGAAATGGACAAATTTTAGAAGTACATACCATACTCTTACATCTACGTTTCAGTCACATCCACACCTCAGCGTATGACAATATGGCGTTTTACTTAACTGACTGAAATACTTTATCATATTTTCTTACAGTTAACACTGAGTTATACTCATTTCTTAAATCTTCAGTCTATCAGGTAACTCGTAAACCAACTGCAATATCAACTCTTATATGTAAAATTATAACCGAACGTAGGTATAAGAAGATAAATTAAACCATATGATATAAGATTGTTTGAGTGGTGACTGAATGAATCGTAATCAATATGCGAACGATGCTGATGCGATGAAACACCTGGAATGGACATGCATACCAACTTCTCTCTCTCTCTCATCGGACTGCAAAAATCAGAAGATAAAGACTGACCTGTGACTATAAGGAAGAAACTGTGACACTAATGTATCACTTATATTCCGTTTTCATAAACATATAAAACCACAAGGTCAAAAGTTAAATAACTTATTCTGATTGGTCAACTGTAGGATAAATTGTCCAATAAGATTTTTTCCGACCACATAGTGACACGAAACAAAAGTTCCAACCCTAAACGTTTATCTTAGTGGTTGACGACTTCAAGTGTCGATTTGCTTCTTATCATTGAGGTAAACGACTAGAATCCTCACCAACACAATATTTCTCTATTTTAAGGGAATTAATTTACATGTTGAGGATAGAACTTACCTCGTTCAGCTCAGTCACTTGACAAAGATTACCATTGGGCTATTTATTTCATGAAGCAAAGCATTCAGGATTTACTCGTTTCAGTTATCTTATTGATAGTGGACTGACATCAGTTGGAGGGACATTGGAAACCTGGGAGCACTAGGCAGCTGTTTCATCCTGACCATGGGACCTGAAGGTCCTGGGTTCTATCCTCGGTGCGATCTTGCGTGCGCGCCGCTAAAAAGTCCCGCCCTGGGACGAAACAGCTGTCCAGTACTCCCAGGTTTCCAATGTTCCTCCAACTGATATCAGTCCATGATGAATACCAACTTGAAACTAGAGTTCTTACAAACCTCTAAATTGAAATTTTTATAAATAATAGTGGAAAAATACCAGTGACTGAGAGGTAAGTGTATTGAGCTGATGAGTCCTAAAAAGTATCAAATATGAGTTCTGAATTCCACTTGTAGCCATTATCCATCATTACTGTCAAACTGAAATCACAGGCAATATCGAGTGGCTTTCACACAGGCGACCAATCAATTGGATGCGATCAGTGATGGGGAATTATAGGCAACAAGACGATAACTTTTACAAGAGTTGAAATCCAGTAGCTTGAACATTCTGTGTATTCATTTTGAAAAGTACCTGCTGAAACTATGTAACCGTACTTCATTCCTGGAGTTAAGTAATTAATTAATTTTTCGCGTGTTATTCATCAGAATAGTTTCTTTCGTTTATCTATATTTCTGTTTCGCTTAATAGCTTTAGAGAAAGCTTCTGCACCGTTACCTAGTCAATGGAGTTGGGCTCAATACTTTGGATTGACATTTGTTGGTGCTTTGATCTTAGGATTGTTAATCCCAGTACTATTTTTGATTATCCTCATTTGGGCTTGTCGTCGTCGACGTCATCATACAATGCATTCGAATTATACAAATAGTAAATTATTTTCAACAAACTTATGGTATTATATTGGTGGAAAAGAGATTTGTGATGATCCTAACGGTTTTCGTGGTAGTTCCAGCTTACTTCGATCAAAACAGTTTAATTCACCATCGAACACTGGTACCTTATTGAATGGTGGTGGACATCATCATATGGGTATGATGAGTAATGCTGATGTGATGGATTTACCGGATGTTGTTATACCTGGGGGTCGAGTTGTAGCTTTCAATTATTCTGGTAATACATTAGGTGCAAATACTCTACGACATAACAACAATGCTAATAATAGTGGTTTTACAAATACAAATTATCTACCAAATAATTCACAAAATGGTCAGGTTATGCTTGGAAATGTTAGTGGAACGGTTTCATCAAGTGGTTCTGGAGCTAATGCTACTACTGTTGCACGTATCTGTCAAAATCCAATACCTTTGGCGTCAAATGAACTTAATCAACAACAGCAACAACCACAACTACAAAACCAACAGCAGAATGAAGCATTTAACTACCAAACAAATCCAGTTTTTGGAGGTTAGTAGATTGAAATCAGTGGGTTATTGCTTCTTTATTGTCTGTAAGATCATTCTTCCCATAATATTTTATCATTCTCCATCCAGGATAGTAGTTTTGAATGCTGCCTTTCAGTTGATTGCATCATGAGGTGGTGATCGGTACTCAGTGTCAATTGATGTCTGCTAATCGAAGAACAAGTTGCTGTAATATATGAAAAAGTAACTTGTGCACATATAGCAAGCACGAAAGTCTGTATCTATGGTTTAGTTTTGTTTCGATTCAATAAATAGAAGCTAGGAGCACTGAAAACCTATTTCATCCTATTATGGGACTCCTCAACATAATTCATTCATGACACCACATGAACCTTCATATCTGGTGGCAAGCGTGTTAGACATCTAGTTACTGGGTCACAGTTCTGTAGTTCACAATTCACTACTTCTTTCAATTGGTGATATACCGTGACTATCTTCAGTTGATATCCCCTTCATTTCTGATTAGTTAACCCCACAGGTCATGACTTCTCATTCGAAATTTAGTTTGAAGTTTATGGGGATTTTGTTTATTTCAAAGTGTAGTACTCACCAGGAACTGAAATTAGTATAGGTACCCTTGAAAACCTGGACGATCAAGTAAAACGTAATATACTACTACACCACATACTTTATCCATAATCAATGCATACTACTGAAGAGTCCCGTACTGGAACAAAACAGCTTTCCACTGCTTCTAGACTTTCAATGGCTGTCCAACGAATGTTAGCCCGTAATGAATACTACCTTTTAAAAAAAGTTGGTGTTAAGTGCAAATTTTTAAAAATATTGTATACTGCAAGCAAACACTATTCACCTATAAACGTATAGCCATATACGAACAGAAAAGTGTGACCTTACTCATATGGATTCTACTTACGCTTGAGTCTCTGATATCATATTTTGTGTAAGTAAGAAGTAACCATTATAGAAGTGTATCTGTGATACAACTGGGATTGTTTGTGAAATATTTTGTCTGGTGAAGTTTGTTGCTTTTAACGTTGAAATATTTCACTGTTGAGTCAAGTAACATCGTTAAAATTCAACGTCGACGAGAAAAGTATTACCTCCCCAACTTGAAGTTCGCCCTATTTCCTTTCTAGCATCTATGTTTACACACAGGAATTAGATACATTTTGTCCAGTTCAACGGGTCCTTTCTTTCCACCAATTAGAGTGTATTGTCCTTCGGATAAAGTGTTGCTTTCCTCTCATCTCATCTGTTCTGTTCATAATGACTGTTATATTTCCTTTATCTGCTTTTTTTTATTGTAATATTCTTGTCTATCCTCAAATTTTTCAGGGCTTGAAATTCTTGTTTAGTGATATTATAAAGTGTATTTTTTTGCGTTGCGAGGATATGTGAAATTTTCTGACATACATTCTGCACCTTGTCGTTAGGCAGGAAATCTAAAGCCGGTTCGGTGATTGGTGCTATCTCATGAGTCAATAATTCCTTTCGGTTGATGTTGAAATTGAGATTTTTCTGTAAAAAGGATATCTTATTTTTCCCTAGAATCTTATCTAACGTGTTGTGTACTGAGTTAGGAGTTCTCGTGTCATATTTTAGTGTTTTTTCTATATGTTTATGCTCTGTTAATTTGGAAAGTTCCTAGATTTGCCTTCGCTTGGCCATATTCTGAAAATATGATTCCTGTTCTTGGAACAGTTTATGAATAGATTTAAGTATATCAGGTGTAATCAGCTTTGACAAACATTCATCATTATTTTTAATCTGTGCTCAATGAAATTCAAGCTTCACAGTACTATTATGTATTCTTTCACGTAGGTATGCTGTGTTGCAAGAATAAATCTGTGGGAATGTTCGAGAGGTTTAACACATGGATTCAGCAATAATCCCACTATGTAAACATCGCATCTTCCAACACATTCATATATCCAGCTATGAGTCGTACATGTGAAAACTGATACAACCTCTGTAGGTTAAGGAAGATGCCAATGCATGGAGTCGTACTGCTGGTTGGACGAGTAATTTGTTTCTTTTTGATGACAAGCAATACTACGTTGATGGTGCCTGCTTTATGAGAATGCGGTGTGGAGGAGAGGGTGTAGAAAAGGTCGGTATCAAAAATACCACCCTTCTACTACCTCGCTACTCCGCTACCTGGGCTCATAGTTAGATTCAAAAGCAACCAACCAAAATCCCGAACTTCCAGAGAATCTGTGTGCAATCAGCCTGAAGCAGATGTCCCTTAGGCTCGGCGGTTACACATTAACTCTTCTTTTTCAGATACCGCATGCCTCTGTATTATACACCTAGTCAATATTTATGTAACATAATAAAACTAATTGTTATGATGAATACATCACTCTTATTCTCTTTTATGTTTGTTTTCTAGAACCTGTTTCTATGGCAATGATGACTGCTAGCCAATCTCCAATGTTGATGACACAATCGATGGCTCCAGTTTACGGATCTGAGGCAAATCATGTTAATCAAGCAAATTTCTTGAATGTAATTAAAATTTATTGCATTTCTGAAGGGCTTTTAAACAAGGTTTTTGAACTGAGATTTTATTTTTAAACTATGTTTATAGAATGCAACAAAAAGTATTCAGTAAGTGGTTTGAAGTCGTCTATCTATCCATCCAATTCAATATAGGACCAGGCATTACTGCGTAACGATCCGAGTTGCCACAGCTCATATCAGTACATCAAGCAAAAAGGTAGTGAAGTGGAAGATGGAGAAAAGAAAACTCAGTCAAAGGAAATGTAAAGTACCAAAAGGAAGAAAAGAAGAATGAGAAAATGCTGAGGTTCAGGATAGCGTCGTTAAGATGAGGACAATGTGTGTGTACATCTACGCCACTGACATCGGTTCTAAGTCACGTAGCTTAGAGTCAGTCTCCAACCACTGGTTTCTGTTGTCCCCCGGACCCCAACCGGTTAGTCTGGATCGCCCCACATGGCTCAAACGAACAGTCAAAGACTTCATACATTGAAGTCATGTTTTATTCTAGCCTGAACCTACTTTGACCAACGTTGTGTGATGAGGCAATCGGCGACTAGGCATACGTAACACATGTCCCAACCATCTCAGTCGATGAAGATTCGCAACCATGTCAACTGACTCACCTCTTCTCCGTAAAACGTTACGCCTAACTTCTGCGTTACTCACGTGGTTATACCACGGAATATGGCCTATACTGAGAAGGCAACGGTGGTCAAACACCTGAAACTTTCTCATGTCTTCCAGGAAAGACTAAACACTTTTCCAACTAGACTTCCATCAGTACTTAAAACTTCAAGTCTACAATGGCCATTATATGATAATCGAATCCGTTGAATCTCAACTTTTCTTCATCCTTTATTCATTCAACAAACACTTATTATTAGTTTGACAATCAGACAGACAGTAGAAAACAACGTAGAACCTTGCGCACAAGTGCATCGACTCAGTTTGCCACACTTCAAAGTAATTTACAAAGAACAGATGGATCAAAAACGAGTGATATCGAAGTAGACGAAGTTTTGTGAGGGAAACAGCGATTTGAAGAGGAAGGTTAGTGCGAATATTCAAGGATTAGAAGACGTCAAGGAGGGAATGCGTCTTTGCCATTGTGACCGATCTTCAGCTATATCTGCAAGAGTCAGTCCTGAAACACTGATTCCTTTCGTTTAGGTGACCCACACGGCTGAGACCAAGAATCAGAGACTTCATGCACTGGTGCTACCTGTTATTTGGGCCGCCATGAACCCTCTTCCAGCTCAATCCAACCTGCCCGTAGCATTGTAGGTTGAGCTACCTCAGTCGATGCAGATTCACAACCGCATCAACTAACCTGCCTGTCTTACCTAGTACCCTTCTCCCGAACTCAACATCGCCCACCAAATGCGAGCAATGCAATGAAAATAGCTAATCTAGCAGGTAGACAGACGTACCACCATAGTTCATGAACAAGGAAGACTACATCAACAAGCCCAAAGGTGCACATGTTGAAATCGAAATAACGTGATAACATGATACCAAGAATAGATGACGTGACATTAATGCATATCGGTTGAAGCTACCATACAAGACACCAGCGATAGAGTTGAATGTGACCAAGAATCTAAGAAATAGAGAAATTGTAGGATGTGTGTGCTTGTTTTAAGAAGTCTTGTTGAAAAATACAGGAGTCACTACAAGTACTTTTAAAGCTCATAGACTAAAAAGGTTACACAAAATAACAAGTGAATGTCATCGTCACCGGAAGTCATCGTCTTCAGTCCAACCAGAAGTGGATAGTTTTATTGATATTAGTTGATGAATGAAGGTGAACTGAATATTTGGGTAGTGGAAAGATTCGAATCGGCCACCTCCTGCTCGATTTTCTACCAACTGGACTACAAGTCTCAGCTACTGATCACATCTTAACATCACTTCCATCACCAAGAGTTTTATCCGGCTGCCATGTGAATTCGTGATGCGTGGCTTGACCATAATTACACTGGCTGCCCAGGCCTTGTTAAGACTTCTCATCCCAATCCAAATCGATCTGAAATAAAGAAGAGGAGCATCACATTGATGATCATTTTAACTAACTGACAATGCTGGTTTGAATTTTTAATATAGGAGTAAAACTTGGGCACTGTCGTCGATTTTAATTCCATTTTAGTCTCTATATGAGAAATGTCACAGTGAAGAAACAGTATGATTTACTCGATAACGTTTCGGACATGATTTATTATCCGTATTCGTATCAGGTAACTCCACAACTTTGAGACAGTTTATATGGTCCTAATTTTCTCTCCTTTTTTGTAATGACAAGGGTAGTAGAATTTTCCATACATCTGGGACAAGTGTAGAATCATTTCTATTACTGCATGTATTTGGTGTTGATTCGATAAACGCAGATTCGGTTATCAGTCACTCCCTGCTTCCACCCAACTAAGTTAGTTTTTAACACTGTCGCTCTATCTCACCCTATTGTGTAATTGTGTGCAGAGCTATAGTCGATCTTTTCTCTAGATTTCTTGTCTTTCTAGGATCTACTAATCTTGATTTAGCTAAGATTTTGTGCTCTGTTATTCCTCTTGATCCTGGTCGGCCAATGTGACTGACGTATGTATTTGGTCTCGGAATCATTTCGAGGGATTTGGTAGACCAAATTACTTTGCCTAATTGCATCGATAGGATCTTTTAACCTACAAAGCTTGTTTCTAAGCGAGTTTATTGGTTTATATGTCACTTTAATTCCAGTCAGCCTTATTGAGAATTCTTCGTAATGCTTCTGAGGTGCCTTCTTTGTATGGTAACATAGCAGATGCTTTGAGTTCTGTCTCAACCTTGTCACCATTATTACTATTAATAGTAGAATCATTGTTAATAACACTTGTATTTCTACTACTACTACTACTACTACTGCTAATATTTTTGATTCGATTTCTTATGAATTTGTTTATAAATTTTGGTGGATAATCATTGAGACGCAAGACATTCTTGATGTGTCTAATTTCTTGCCGTAAATCTTCTGTCCTACTAGTAAGCTTTTCCGCCCTATCACATGGGCATTTAGCTAAACCTACTTTAAGTGAAATGGAGTGGGAGGATTTGAAGTCAAAGTAGCGATTCGAATGGTTAGGTTTTCTATAGACAGTAGACTGTAAACTTCCATCTTGTGTTCGTTTATTCTTGCAATCCAATGTTTCTAGCTCACCTTCATCACTTTCTTAGTCACAGGTGAATTGAGTTACATTTACTACTGAATTTATATGCGTCAAAAAGTTATCAATGTGTTCCGATTTCAGTACTGTAAACGTATCATCTACATATCGGAACTATTCACATCTTTGAAGTAGGACTAAATGTTCGAAGGGCCATCTGTTCCCAACTATGCATAAATATGCCTGCGACGATAGAGGATATTGATGATCTTATGACAACCCACTCGGTTTGTTTATATATTTTATTTTGAAACTTAAAAACTGTAGATGTTAGGCAAAATCGTACTCTTAGCATGATTTCTTCGATTGGCACCTTAGTTTGATGCGTAAGCTCATTGGTTTGAATCTTGCCGCGGCTCAAATTTTCATTTCACCTTCAATCATGATTCAAGTATTAATAATATAAGTCTACAAAACCATAGCTATCTTCTCATCTTATGATTCCATCTTAGAAAATATGTCCACTGTATTCTCTGATTGTTTTCACATTTTATGGACTAAATTTTTTTTGTTTTCATTCATAATTGTGCACAACCGATTCGCGTAGACACGCAAGAACACTTGATGTGTACCATAACATAAGGTGATATTCTGTAGGTAGTTCTGTTAACTAGTGTTTCACAACAAACACAATTTAATAATAATCACTTTAATCCAAATTTGCAGATTAATTTACTGTAAATTCAGTCCTTATTAGTGAGTGATATGCTTGGAGATGAGATTTCTTAGTTTTAAGCAGAATCAGTGATCTATAGGGTCAATCAGGTTGGCCATGTAGAGAAATATACTCACCGATGGCGTAACATGATGGCTACATTATAAGTTGCTAATTGACATAAGTGACGAAACCTGCACACCTGGATTCGTGACGCCAGATCTAATGTTATTGGACTCGATCGCTTGCAAGTTTGTGGGTGCATACAGTTGTGAAGTTTTATACTTGGACCATGTAACTGTCCAGTGCTCTGTTTTAGTAGTGACTCAAGCATCAGTAAATAAAAGCACTAGTCATAAATAAACAGAAATTGCTAAGTGACTTTGGTTTTTCTTATTTCTTCTTTCAGACTGCTGTATCACAAATGAATCACTTCAATACAAATGCTCAAGTCTACAATAAACCACCACCATCAGTACAACAGCAACAACAACAACCTCGTGCTCAATCTCAATATTTTCCGTCATCTCAACTTCCTCAGTCAAATTTAATTCAACAACCTCAACCACAGCAACAAGTACCATCCGGATTTCAACAACAGCAAGTATGTGGATTTCAGAATCAAGCCCAACTTCACCACCAACAACAACACTTACCAATTAATCAGACACCTGTTACTAATCAATTCTATCCACAACAACAACCAGTACAACAACAACAGCAACAATTCCCGCTACCGCCTCCACCAACATCACAACAATTGCAACAATTAAATCCTCAACAACCTTCAGTATATTCACAACAACAACAACAACAAAATCAACCCGTCCCTGTTGTTCAGCAACCAGTAGGTCAATATCAATTCCAACAACACCAAAGTCAACAACAAATACTGTCTGATCAATGTGGACAACAGATAGTAAACGGACAAGTACAAATATCTAATACACCAAATCAAATTCCTGTAACACAACCGAGTTATCAGCCGATAATACAAAACTGTCAACCTCTACAACAGCAACAACAGTGCAACAATACAAATTCTGGTAGTAATATGACCAATGGACAAGTAATAACAACATCGAATAATCGTTTTTTATCAATGTCTCCAGTTTCAATTGGCACTGATTCACTAACAGAAGCTGATCAACAAGCTGCAATAGCTTTATTGGCTGCTGCTACTGAAGGTATGGATGTCTATAGGGAAAATCAAACGACACCGAACAATTTTCAAACTCCTGTTTCTAATGTCAATAATAATATAGGATCAGAGGCATGTTTGAATAATGTTAACAATAATAATAATAATAATAATAATAATAGTAATAACTGTGCTAATAACAATAATACACAAGTGTCAGTTGATGAAGATCATCCACCACCAGGTTATGATGAAGCTATTGGCTTGATACAAAACAATTGTATGAACAATGTTAACATGTCGGCGACGACAGTGGCTTCGATGATGATGATGATGAATACAATGGCGAAACCAGCTGTCCCCATACCGAATACCACTTGTACACCACCACCAGCATTACCTCCACGTAGAATTATCAATGGAGTTGGATTAGAAGATATTGAAGATGCACAGCCTATGGCATGTTTATCATTAGCTGAACGTTACGGTCTACCAGTAGCTGAAATCTAAAGGAATAAAGATACAAATCGTCAGTGTATTCAGCTGATAAACAGGAGATCGTCATAAATACCTTGTTGAATGTAACAGTGATGTTTATGTTGAGTTCTTTTTGTTGTTGATTGATTGTCTTCACCTTTAGTATTTCATCGGCTTATTCATAATTAGTGTTCATTGTCGTCGCTGTCGTGTATGTGTGGTGGCGTGCATGTTTGCTTTCCTGATATTTCCTCTCATTGCTTACTAATATATTTTATTCATTGCTTTGCTTGTGTAGTGATTTTATTTGTTGTACGCTTTAGTTAATTTCGTCATATATTATCATATTTAATTATTCTACAAAAACACTACCTACTACTTCTAGTACTATTTATACTACTGAATACTTTTAGTTACATGGTTACTTATTGGTAATGCTGACAATTCATCTTCACACCATGATTGACAAGCAATATGCTATGAGCATTTTACTATCTTCGGCTTTAATCAATAACTCCTATATGAATTCATGTAGTTGAACGGTTTTACACCTATCCTTTGATTTTGTCAGTTTATACTTTAACTTCTATTATTTTATTTTTCTGAAGTTCATTGTTTTACATGATTTATGTTAATCTCTTGTTTATATTGGATCTTTTTTCTCTCTCTCTCTCTCTCGTCCCCACACCTCTAAAACTACTTCGTGTGCATTTCATCTATGCGTTGTTTTCCTCTTGCGCCGATTTCTGAGATCTTATTTATTCGAGTTTGTGAAGACTTTATTTCCAGTTGGATGTTGTTTATGCAGAAAACTCTTGTTGTTTATCTTCCCTACTTAAATATACATCATTTTTTAAAGCTAATTGACCTCAACAATATTGTTGTTATCAGTTCTGTGTGGATGAAGTTTTCTTTTCCTTTTTTTTCATTGGACATTGGCAGCAATATCTTCAACTATTCATCATTGACTTTCTCAGTCAGTATTAACGGCAATAGTGTGAATAGTGTGAAAATCTTCAAAGTAGTTATAGCATGATAACTACGTTTCAAAATGCTGCTGTATTATTGTTCTTTTCTTCTCTACTTTGCTTGAGTGAGTATCTCGAGTTTTATTCCCTTTACGGGAGTTAAGTCATACATACCTAGTTACCATTAGGTGATCATGAAAAAGGAATACCAATATGTGCTCTTGACTTGTCCTCTTTAACGTCTGTGAAGTGTTTGCATGAATGTGTTATTGAATGGAAAACTGTTAAACAGTGTGAAAGTCAACTAAACGAATTGTCTACAGAAAGAAAGAGGCTAACACCGAATAACCATAGTATTACGCAACAGTCATAGGTTTTATGTACCCTTACTAAATGTCATCGTACTTGGTAGCTTTACAAAAAGGTTTTAGCTGACCATTTATCATTCTTTTTTACCACCATCACCATCATATTTCTTAATTGCAAGCATTATTCTATTAATTTGATTGCTTGTTTGCTTATAATTTTTGACTGGTCATTTGTTTCTTCATTGTTTTGTTTTTATCTCTGATCATCATATTTGTGTTGTCATAATAATGATAATAACATTGTCATTTTACTTGTCATTTTTTTTAGTCAATTGTTAAGCAATTAATATCACTGTTTCATGAATTTTTTCCATGCTTCCCCCCCCCCTTTGCTTCAATAAATTTATCATTTTGACAATTTCTTCTGAAATATCTGTCTGTGTTGTTTTAACTACTTAATTATTATTTAAGTAGTCTATGTTGACTAGGCGTATTATACGGTTGCATATAGCACATTAAACCTAATCGGTATTAGTTAACCTTGTGTTTATCTACTTTGTTGCGAAGACAAACGGATGTGACTGATTGATTTAACCAGTTGACTTTCAACCTGGGGGTCACAAGTTTGAACACTGCTTCAACTACCGAGCTTTGGGGAGCTAGGTAGTATCACACACAATAGGTGTCTCAGTGCATGCTGCACAACTGGGCATCTAGTTGCTAGATGCAATTTTGTTGTTGTCAACTGAGCAAGTAAAAACTAGTTTGGTAAATTTTTTGGGTGAAATCAAAACACACTTTATAATTGTATAGTTTGTCCTCCGTTCATTCAGGATTAAATGGTTCTATCAAGAAGCTGATTTTTCAATGAGTGAATTTGATATTGGATTTTATTCCCGTTGGACAGAGTACTTGACACGTCAGTCACATATAAACTGTAATCAATGGCAGAAGATCATTGTTATGGGACTTGAACTTACCGCTAACTGAGAACTGTCCACGTAGCGTAATAGCAATCTTTAGGAGACTCATGGTTCTCCTTATGTTGAGACCTGCATCACTTACATTGATATTACTTCATTACACTGACTTTTTCATACTAAAGTTAGCTTTCTCTAGGGTTAGACTAACTCTACACATAGTATAATGTGTTACTGGACAGCAGCAGTCAGTGGTTATGCTCTTTATTTATAGTTTCATATTACCATCATCAGGCTAAGTTGTAAATCCTCCCAATGGATTCCTCCAGCTCTCAGTAGCTTTTGCATTACCACTAGTATCGATGTTTAAATAGACCAAGATATCTTGAGACACCGAAATCGTTTGATTGATCATAATCATGCTCTATGCGCCTATCTCACTATCCATCTATGATGTGATGTAACATTTATGTCATGGGTTCCAACCCCATCCCATCTACTGAGGTTTGAGCAACCAACTTTCTCTCTAACACACATAACAAGTGTAGCTCATTGCCCACTGCATAAATTTGCTTGAGATTACCTAGTACGCTTCGATTTCTTCGTGTGTCAACCGATATAAACATACATTGACAATGAAGCCCCTCACCTTCTTGAAAAGAATAATAAAGAGTTATTACAATTGTATTCCTTGATACCCAATCATTCCCCTGTATCAAAACAACTAGTACTGTTTAGCTTCAGTAACTGCTAGTAGGATACAAGTAAAATCAGTGTGAATCGTTCCACAGTTGTCCTATTTGTCTCATTTCAATAAGTAAGCATTCCTAAACCTAATCTCATCCTGTTAGGTTTGAATAACCTAGTCAACAAATAGAAAAAAAACTATAATTTTGTCTGAAATGTATCAAAAACCCTAGGACATAGACATCTGAGGATAGTTCAGTGATGTTATCAAGTGTGGGGATGAAATATCCACAAGGAAACATCAAAACTCAGTGAACCCTTAACTACCGGCATTCTCATCCTCAGATATAGATCCTTTACACTACACATAAATAACAATTCTAACAGCATATTTTATCGTATAGTTGTTAGCATTTTGAGTTTAGACCAGTCTATCTACTGATCTAGCTGAATAGAAACTCTAAATGCATTCTGTAACTTTACAGTAGGCAGTTATCATTTTGTGTGAGGGCTAAGAAAATTCACTACCTGACTATCCGAATCACAACACATGGAGCAAGACTTAAACTCGTAATTTATTGGTTGAAAATCAACCTCTCTGAACCAGTGAACTATAGCTCCCCGGTCTTCTAATTGTGCCTTGGTTTATCCTTTCCTATATTTCAGTGTGTCATGATTGGTCTATAGCTAACTACCAGTAGGAAGACCCTAGTATCGAGGGATTCAATGAATACTTACAAGCGTTTTTTAGATTTTATTTTTGTAGTTATGTGAAATTCATCTGTCCATCTAGTCTGTTGTTCAACATCGGTTGATTAGCGACTTAACTTAACTTTCTCTTAAAGATACACGGTACGTTAAGGGTGTGACAGCTTTTATATTATCCCAAGCTTCTGTATTATTTAGAATACCTTTTTTATGATCATCTATTTATACTAGGTAATGATCAGCAATCAATTAAAATTCTAGGTCACTTGAGGTTTGGAGTTCGCAGCCTCAAGGTTACTGACTCAGTGCTTCACTAACTGAGCTAACCAAATTCTAATTTCACTTCAATCACCAAGGGTTTTGCCCAACTATCACATAAATCTATTTCATTAACTTAATAAACTGATGGCCACTTCATCAGCTTACTATGATAATTCTTTTTCCAAAAGAATTTGCCTGATAATTATAACTGGGGGTTGGCGGCGGCGGGGGTAGTTCTCAAAGGAAATCCTGCAGAAAAAACAGCTGAATAATGGAAGAGTAATTAACCGTGTAAATAAACCTATTATATTTTGCTTAATTCTGATAACCATTGATACATCTTTATTGGTTGACTAGATTCTGGTACAGTGAACTAAATATTCGTGCATACTTGATTGATGACGTTTGTTTAACTATGTAGAAATAATCGTCAGAGGTTCACATCAGTGTTGTCTAGACAGAAGCTACTGTTTATTGGTGGTAATGTCATCGAGTGAAATATTCCATCATCTAGCCCATATTTAAAATATACATTCAAGTCAGTGACTGACCAAGATTTCTTTAACCCAATGAAATCTACAATAATTACCTCCCTGAATCCTTTCATTCAGGGTATATCTGTACTGCATATATTAGGCTTATCAGTTTGATTATCTATGATAGCTATTGTTTGACAAAGTTGTATTTTTGATACTCGGGTAATGATTGAAGGTGAAATAAAAATATATACTGCCGCAGAGTTCAAACGAACAGCCTGGTCTTGTAACTCAGTTAGTAGAGCATGTAAGTTGCTAGCTGATAGGTCACTGGCTCGAATCCTCCCGTCACCCTGATTTGCATTTCTTTTACAAAGTGACGGTTTGATTAACCACTTTCATCTCTATTCTGAAGTTATTTTTTGAGTAAATCTTCATTCCCATGGACTCTTTTGTTTTAATTACTTTTAGGTATGTTTTACGAGGTCAATTTAAATCCATCTATTGCTACTGATGGCGATGATAATACTAACAAAGCTATTTCTAGAAGAAGAAATCAAAATGAAAGACGTTTATGTTCACTAGATAATCTCCAATATATCTATGCACGTTTATTTATTATCAATGTAGATGATTCATTGAATAAACAACAATTAACTGTTACATGTCTTACACCAGTGGAATTGTGCTTCATTGTTCGTCATACTATTGATACTACTATAAAAGATTTGTTTGGTCATTTCTCTGGTCTATCAGTTTTATATTATGATTTATTATTTTGTCAATCAGATAATATAGATAATGATAAATCAAATGAAAAGTTATTCACTCTATCATGGTCTATTCTACTGGCTGTACCATTGAATAATGCAGAAAAGATTATTGCAGCTTTAAGTTTTATGACAAATGATTTAGGCGGGCAAGAGTTTATCAATGCAACGATTGAATCAACACATTTAAAAAGTGACTCATTGAAATTTTATGCAGATATCATATCAACATCTGATTCATTATTTAATTTACAATGTATTCCTCTTTATAAATTGAAAAGATAAATAAATAAATAATAAAAAAACAACTAGTTTTGTGTAAGAAAATGCCTTCTTTGACGATCAAATAAGTGTATATAACGCGTTCACCGTGAAACCTGAAGGTACTGCTGAGGAGTCCCGTAGTTGGACGAAACAGGTGTCCAGTGCTCCCAGATTTTCAATGGTTTCCCAACTGATGTCAGTTCATGATGAATACTACTTCTAAATTAAAAAATCACCATTCATCTCAAAAATACATTACTGTATAGTGCTCATTAGTGACTTGCTTCCAGATGGATATCAGGAAGCTCTAATGAGAAGTCATAACCTATGGGGTCAACCAGTCGGAAGTGAAGTGGATGCTAACTAAAGACCTTGGGTGGCAGTCGCGCTATGTTGCGAGTTGACAGAAGTTGGAAATTGATCCATTGGCTGAATGGTTAACGCGTTCGCCGTGAAACCTGAAGGTCATGAGTTCGATCTCTAGCCGGGTCTTGAGTGCGTACTGCTAAGGAGTCCCGTAGTCGGATGAAACAGTTGTCCAGTGCTCCCAGATTCTCAATGATTCTTCAACTGATGTCAGTCCATGATGAATACTACTTCTAAATTAAAAAATCCCCATTCATCTCAAAAATAAATAATAAGAACTAGATTTGTGTAAGAAAATGACTTCTTTGACGATCACATAAATGTATATACTTGTATACGACTATACTACACTACAATCTGTTCTGTCTTGCTGAACGGCTCGTATTTCATGGAATCACCGTGTGAATAATGTTGAGATCAGGCGAAGCGTAATAGATAAGATAAGCAAGTAGAATTATGAGGTTGTGAACCTTAGTTGACTGTACTGCGTACGTTGAGTCACCGCCTTCCTCGATATGCCATTCTAGGGGAGTTTGAGAGGGAGGATTCACATTGGCCAGATTAAGATGTGACACCAGTCTATAAAGTCTCTTACGGTTGGTTTGAGTCATTTGGGGAGATGTAGACTGACTGAATGGGATCCCCGAGATGTTAGGAATCAGTGGTTGAGGACTTTTGGTTACACTGTTGGAAATCGACCACAATGAAGATGTATGCACTCTTTCACGTCTTCTAAACCTTAAATATTCTCACTATCATCTCTAGATTGTTTATTCTGCCATATAACTTCATCTACTTTGATATCACTCCTCGATCGATCTGTTCTTTGTGTTTTACTTTGAAGTGTGGCAACTTGGCCCTATTCACCTGTGTGCTAGGTTTTACGTTGGTTTTGTCAGTCAGCTAGTTACTTTTTTTAATGATGGAATGCTGTGGGCGGCTCCTTTCTTGCATCAAACTCGTAAATCAATCAACTAAACCTTCCAACTGAGAAAACACATCATCAGCCTAACCACCCTCTTGGGCTAAAAATATTCTATATCATTTCAAAATCCTATGAGTGAAAAACGCTTCTCAGTGTTGGAAAATGGGGGAACTTCACCAAGAGATAGGCTCTTTTGACAGGACAACAATATTTTTGTTGGCAATTGTGATCGAAGAATCAAGTAGATGACACACAGATCAAAGAAAAGAAACATTTTGTTTGAGAAAAGCAGGTCACAATTTCAAACCACAAGCATTGGAATGGGAAGAGGTCGAGTCTGAGGAACTCCTCCTCTAGAAAGGACTAAAGAAAACGTTTCTGAACTAGAATTTTTCTCTGCCTTTGAGTCATCAGTGAACACCTCAGGATTAAACATTGAGAGGTAACTTGAAGTACAACAAATAATCGAACCTAGGACTTGACTAAAACAAAACTGTACCCAACTAACCAATGAACACTATTGAGGTATCCAGCCTAGAGAACACAACACCATTAAAATTAACCAGGTCCTTGAAAATCTAATGTCGAATAAAGCTGCATTGTTCATAAGTAACTTGATCTGAAAAGAATGCCATTTAAATCTTGATCAGAGGTCTTAATTTCACCCAACCAACTGTATATTTCATAAACTAACAGCTACTACATCAAGCATACTGTACTTGGTGAAAGGAGTGAAGGTTTTGGATCAGATGTTGGATATCCAAAGTACTGAATTATCACAAAGCAAGAGGAGAGAACTACTTGGTGCCATCTTATTGGCAGTGGTTGCTAAACTGACGTCGTTAAAAGCACCCCTGTGAATACGCCCACTTTTTTAAACTTAATGTCCAAACAACATTAATGCCTAACTTTAATCATAGATAATTTGCTATCCAAATGTAGTGCAAGAGTAATCAAAACCTTGAAAGAAATCTAACCATTTTGTATGTGAACGTAATGAAATGCAAGTCACTTCTTTGTAGATCATAGACATAAGAAAAGGCGTCAACTTATTAAGGTGGGGAAATGATGTTGTAGAAGAGTTGTGAACCAATGAATTTAGTATGTAATGTTATTTGCCTCTCAGCACTTATAAAATGTTAATTTGGTTTTTAAAAAGTTTTCCACCTGAGACTTGAATCCGTGCCACCCAGTGTTGTAGTCAGCGACTTTACCACCGAGCTTACCGGCAGCAACTGGCTACCTATAGGACTGTATTAGATACATTGATTGATCACTGGAGAGTAACCAACTTCATATTGTCTAGTCCCAAGTGGTGATCGAATGCTATCTAGCCACCAGACTAGGCAGCTCAGCATCGCAATGTGGGTTTGAACCTCAGGCTGGAAATCAATTCCATCAGGGATACAGATACGCCTTGTTGACAAGTGCCAAGAAGCATAAAAACTAGGTCCATGGCTTCCTGCCGATTGCCTCCATCCAACTTTCAGAGTGCATCACGGTGTTGACCTGCCTAGTCTGGTGGCCATATTGCAAAAAGTATCCGAAGAATTCGATCATCACTTAGGACTAGACAGCATGAAGTTGGTTAACCTCCAGTGACTAATCAAATATTTTCAGTCTACTTGTGTTGCCAGACTAATCACATTGATGTTATCATTTGACTATCTGAGATAGCCCTAGTTTGGCAGGCTAGTATTGATACTGGGTGATGATTGAATTGAAATGAAAACCTGGTTAGCAGTCGGGCCTTGTAGCCCAGTTGGTAGAGCACTTAGTCGGTAACCCGGTGGTCGCTGGTTCGAATCTCACCGCGGTTGGGATTTTCATTTCACCTTCAATCATTACTCAGTATAAATAGTAGTCCGCTAAACTACGGCTATCTCAGATGGTCAAATGATAATCAGTATGATGCTCTCCCTCTCTAATTCACTTAGATTTAGATTGGAATGAGAAGTCCTAACTGGACTGAGCAACCAGTGTGAGCACGACCAAGAGATGGTAACGTTTAAGGAATTCACATGGTTGTCGTACAAAACCCTTGTTGATTTAAGTGAGATAAAAAATCTAGTCAACAGTCGGACCTCGTACCTCAGTTGGTAGAGTAAGGGCCTGGGAACTCGGTTGTCGCTGTTTCGAATCCGGCAGCGGTCCAGATTTTCACCTCATCTTCAATCGTCACCGTGTATAATCACATTGGAATAGGAAACTAAATTTCTTCATAGGATAACGTGTGTTGATTTGAGATGTTAGATAAAGATAGTGATGGACATTGAAAGGTCTCAGGAGAGCGACCGATTTGATGTTCTCTAGTCCTGAGTGCTCACCCACTTCTTCCAATCATATCTGCAATGTGCCCACCAAGCTAGAAGGCTCACCATCGTGGTGAGTCTTGATGGATTTTAGATGGTTGAAGACAGTCGAGAGGAAGCTCAACTGCACCTATGTTTCGCGCTTGTTTGCACTCGCCAACAAGGCATACCTGCAACCTGGATGAAACTAATTTCCTATCCTGCATCATTCATTGTTGTAGTCAATCATGTTACCACTGAGCTACTAGGTTCGCAATTAACCTGTATAGCTTGGCTAGATACATCCCAAAATGGTTGTTGGAATTCGGTCAGCGCTCAGGACTAGACAACGTGAAATTGGTTTGAGCGATCTTGGTGATTAGCAGAAGAATTCAGGACGCTTGTTTCGTCCTATTTGGGACTCGTCAGCGTTTGAAGCTAAGGGTACTTGGTGCGAACCTCAATGGGAACAACATCACTCACTAGGATGCAGGTACACCCAACTGATGAGTCCCAAATCGGGTGAAATGCGCGTCCTGGATTCCTCTGTTAGTCACTGAGACCAATATAACACCGTGAATAATTAGCAGTACCAAGGCATCCGCATAGAAGCCCATCTACCAACAGCAGAGGTCGAGTGATTCGGCTGTGTATAGCAACGTGAAATAATAAATATCATAGTAATAATGTAATTGGTTAGTCTCCAGTGTCCAATCAATTTATTGGATCCAATCCTACAGGACGTCAATCGCGACCTAAATACCTCAGCCACAACATTGCTTACTGCAGCATTCAGTGATGCTGATTCGAATCTCAGAGAAGAAACATCGGTCCCTTTGCTGACAAATGCCAATAAACGCCAAACTTAGGTCAAGTTGAGCTTCTTACCGATTGTTTCCAACCAAATGATACTTGTGAACTTAATGATTTCATATAATCGACTGTGTGATCCAGTGGCCATAGATTCACCTCTAAGTATTTCCTTGGGAAGTATTTTAATGGGTTACCTCGAACAGACGTACCCGAATTCCATCGTTAGAGGAATAACCTATTATCACAGATATCCTGATGGTACCTTTATTGTTTGCAATGATATGAACCATGCAACTCAGTTGTTTGACAATCTCAACGAGGCTCATCGCAACCAATACAATTACGAGACACTTTTTTACACACAGTCCATCAGGTTGAAACTTTGAGTGCTTTTAAAGTAATAAATGTACAGAAAATGCCAGAATTACTACGCTTTGCAGAAGCGATTGCTATAAAACGCTTTCAATGTGACCTCTACATACAGAAGGAGAGTGTGATAACCACAGGAGAATCAGTCTGACGAACATAATATCTGAGATTCTATATTCTGTTAGTAGGTTTCTGAGTAGAGCTGGTGAACAACAAACCCGAGCGAACTAGTTAAGATTCTGACCTGACCGCAAGTGTGTCAACTAGATATTCACTCTCTGCCATGTTC